GATTTATAATTCGCGCGTTTCGGGAGATTTTAGTTCTAAACTTTTAACATAATGAATATTTGAATCTAATATAACCATTTTAGTTTTTTTAAAAAATCCAAAAAAAAAATCAATATGAACATTTATATAAATACAAACTTATTTTAGCAAGAGCTTAGAACACAAATATTTTTCATGATAAATTTTGGTTTTTAACCCAATGAATATGTAGGCGCCATGTGGTTATAAAAATCAGTTGAACCTACAGTCCTTTATATGAGACATAAAGTTTCTCCACATAAACTAATAGAAACAGAAATCGGCATTGACAAACATCCCACGGTCCTTTATATGAGACATAAAGTTTCTCCCTATTGATGTCCCGTGGAACATCTCTCTAAAGACTTGGATGTTGATCATTGCCTCAATCTTAGAGTGAATGACATCAAAAGTATTTTACTTTCATCTTGTGCATATATCTTTCTAAGTTTTAGTGAAATCTCTTAAACAGTTATTTACAATCATTTTTTTTTTCTAATATTCTAAGATCGAAAAAAAAAACGTAAATAAATTCTTTAAATAGGTTAACAAATACATTGAAAACTCTAAATTAATACTGTCGGACCAATGATATTTTTCCGGTCCTAAATTAGTTCTTTGGTATAAAGACTTTTGAAACATTATTTACAAAATCCAATATATTCATTTTTGAATACGATTCTTATCTTTGAATATAGTTTTATATAAAAAGATTCCTTTCTTAACATGTTTACCAAAAAAAAAAGATTCCTTCATAATAAAATATATAGTAAATGAACTAATGCTCCAATGTCTTCATATAAAGGTGGTCTACGTATTATCCAAAACAATTCATTACAAATTGTTGCAAATCATTCATATACGTTTGTTTTATTGATAAAAAATGCGAACACATCACATCACAAATCATTCATATAGGTCTAAGAAAAAACAATATATCAAAGAGACAACACATGCGTTTGTTTTGTTGATAAAAATTAAAAGTAACAAACGGGTGTTTTATTATTCATGAAAATCGGTGACAGAAAAAAATAAAATAATAATATCGGTGACTGATCGTTGTTTCCGGCGAGGTCATCGGAAAATCTATATAGCACCAAAATCGTAAACATCACATCACAAATTAGATAGTAATTCTTTAATATTATTAATAATCGTCTCGAGTTGGGTATGAGGATAACCACTGTTGGCTATAACTTTTCTACATATATATAGAGCCGGCTTTGAAAATAAATAATTTCGAATATAATATTTTTTTAAAAATCTTTACGTAGCAATTTGTTGCATACTTTAAGAGACTAAAGGTGTTTTTTTTTGGTAAGGGACTAAAGGTGTTAACGGTTGGAAATGGGAAGTGGAGGCTCGAGCCACGAACAAAGAGTGTTTCGACAAGGGACAATTGGAGTCAATTATATGCAGCTTTGACTCCAAACGACATGCTATGTCGAATTTCCTTCTTCGATGCAGGTGCGGCTCTGCCCATATCCTCATGTTAATAATGAAAAACATATTAAGTATCACTCAATGAAGATTTTTAGAAATATATTAATTAAATTAATCAATCAAAACATTCTAATTAATTCTAAATGTCATGTTAAAAATCTCTACATGTATTTACTTCTTTTTTTAACATAAACTCACAAATACGTTAGTTAC